ATTGGTCCATACCTAATGTAGTAGCAAGATATGCGTGAGAAAACTGATTATCCGGGACATTGAGTGGCGCATGATTGTGAACCATGTATGATTCCCAGCTACACTCGAGAGATGGCTGAGGCTCTGTCAAGTCGCTCCCTGAGCGTATGCTGTGGCTAGGCGACGCAACGCCACACTCCCTAGGCCTGGAAACAGCACAAAGCGAGACTCTTCTCAAAACAAGTATATTATCTATACTCTCTCTCTCTGCTTTTCTTAAGTTGGAGCACAGCCTATTATGCGTCTAGGTCTCATTTGAAGTCATACTTTTTCATAATGAAAACCTAGGGGTAATGAAGAGAGAAGAAAGAGGTGCGTAGGTGGCTGAATTAGCCTTTATTTACAGTGATAATTATTAATATAAAGCTAAGGCCAGGCGAGGTGGCTCACGCCTCTAATCCTAGCACTCTGGGAGGCCAAGGCGAGCGGATTGCTCAAGGTCAGGAGTTTGAAACCAGCCTGAGCAAGAGCGAGACCCCCGTCTCTACTATAAATAGAAAGAAATTAATTGGCCAACTAATATACATAGAAAAAATTAGCCGGGCATGGTGGCGCATGCCTGTAGTCCCAGCTACTCGGGAGGCTGAGGCAGAAGGATCGCTTGAGCCCAGGAGTTTGAGGTTGCTGTGAGCTAGGCTGACGCCCCGGCACTCACTCTAGCCTGGACAACAAAGCGAGACTCTGTCTCAAAAAATATATATATAAAGCTAAAAGTTAAATCTACCTTACCCTCAACTCCTCTTGATTACAAGGTTTAGTGATGAACTTCCCCCTTTCGTGTAAATGTTGGGTCATTTCTTCCCTACAAAATATGGTTACCATGCACATGGCAAGGGGATTCCTCTGACGTCAAACGCAAAGGGAAAACCAGGGAGGTAGATTAGAGCAAGAACATAGTCAGGGTGTGGAGTTTCTTTTTATGAGCACGTGGGGTTAAGATGTTAAGCAGTGGGGAAGTGGAGAAGGGAAGTAAATCTGGATAAGAAAAATTTGTTCTCCTGCCTAAAAATATTTTAATGAAAAGAGCACAGAGGAATCTTTATTTTTTGAATAAAACATTATTCAATTATTACCAACTTCTGAATAAGTTAGAACACATAGAAAAACTTGATGGTAAAAAATAATATTCATAGTCTGTGTAATTTTGCTGTGAGCCTAAAACAACTCTAAGCGATAGACTCTATTTAACATTCTGAAAAAGTAACAATAATAAAATAAAATGCTACAAATAGACATACTCATGGACCTATTGGCCAATTAAAAATCTCATTCATTCCTCATGCTGAACGTGATGCCTCATTTTCCTTAAGTGGTAGAGGCATAGTGTGTGATGGTTAGGGAGGGGAACTAAACTAGATAATGTGAGTTCAAATCCTGGTTTTGCCACTTTCGGCTGCATAATAATAGGCAAGTTATTTAACCACTCTGGGATTTATTTTTTTCACCTGTAAAATGAAGTCTATTAGTTACCTACTACTGCATAACAAATCACCCCAAAACTGAGTGGTGGAAGAAAATAAACACATATTATCTCACCGTTTCTTTGGGTCATGAATTCAGAAGTGGCTTAGCTGGGTGATTATGGTTTGGGGTTCCTTGTGAGGTTGCAATCAAGATGTGGGCTGGACTACAGTCACTGAAAGGCTTGCTGTGCCTAGGTTTTCCACATGTAGGCTGGCTCATGTGGTGCTTGTTGTTGGTAGACTGCCTCAGTTCCTCCCACATAAGCTTCGTGGGCTGTTTGAGTTTCCTCACAAGATGGCGACTGGCTTCGTCCAGAGTGAGCAAGTCAAGAGAGCAAGGTGGAAGCCACAATGTGTCTCATGATCTGGCCTCAGAAGTTGACACTCAGTCACTTCTGTGATATTCTATTGGTTACGTAAAAGTCAGCTCTTTTCACTGTGGGAGAGAATGAGGAAGAGCACAAATACCAGAAGGTGGGATCACTGAGGACCATCTTGAAGTTTGGCTACAAAACAGGATAATAACAGTATTTAGACCTCATACTGTGGTGTGTGACATATATACTAATTTAATATTTAAGGCACTTAAGGCTTATTTAATATGTAAAGTACTCAGTAACTGGGACCTATTATAATGTTTACTTTCCCTCAGCTTCACTCTTTCTTTCGCAGAGGTAAGCATTTTCCAGCCAGAAAATCAACTATCTTTCTTATTAATTGATGTTACTAGAACAAAACAGCATGCTACACTGTCATTTAAACTGAACCAAACCAAGTTCATGACATTTACGCAAGCAGTTATCTCTTTCTCAAATGAAGAGACCACCATCTACCCAATAACACATGCGTGACACCCAAAAGTCATCCTTAACTCTTCCCTCTCCTGACTAATATCTATCCATGACCATGCTGTCAACTCAGTGTACTAAATATCTTCCAAACCCATCCTTTTCCAAACCCATAATAACCATATTTGTTCAAGCAACAGTCATCTCACCTGCCCGTACGCAGTAACTGCTAACTTTCTGCTCCTGCTCTTGGCTCCTTCCATTCCAATCTGAAGCTAGATATTTTTTTTTTACAGTTGTCTTCCCTGACTAGGTTAACTATGCTTATTATATGCTTTTATAGCACTTACCACCTACATTTATTTGTGCGATTTTTAGGATGGTGACATTGTATTGGTCAGGGTTCTCCAAAGAAACAGAACCAATAGGACGTGTGTATGTATGTGTGTGTATGTATGTGTGTGTATGTATGTGTGTAAATAATAAGAGATTTATTACCTAAGATCTACAGTCAGTGAGCTGGAGATCCAGGAGGGCCGATGGTATGGTTCCAGTCCAAGTCCAAAGGCCCGAGTCCGGGAGAGCTGATGGTGTGAGTTCTGGTCTGCAGGCTCAAGACCCAGGAGGGGTCAACGTTTCCATTGAAGTCCAAGTCCAAAGGCAGGGGGTAAAAGTGATGCCCCAGCTGAAGCAGTCAGGCCTGAATAGTTCCCTCTTACCAACTGTTTTGTTTTATTCAGGTCTTCCTTCAATTGATGGGATGGTGCCTGCTCACATCAGGGAGAAAGGTCTGCCTCACTGAGTCTGCAAATTCAAATGTTAATCTCGTTCAGAAACACCTTCACATGTCAACACACCCAGAATAGTAACGGTTACACCCCTGTCCCAGTCAGGTTGACACGTGCAATTAACCATCACGGTCATCCCCGACGACATCCAGGACGCACGGCTGTACATCCCCTGTGCCTGGCACAAACTGGGTGTTCAATACGTATTTGATGAAGGAAAAAAAAAAAGCTTGATTTCATCATTCTGAATAGTATATTCTTTTTCTTTTCTTCTTCTTTTTTTTTTTTTGAGACAAAGTCTCACTCTGTTGCCTGAGTGCTGTGGCGTCAGCCTAGCTCACAGCAACCTCAATCTCCTGGGCTCAAGTGATCCTCCTGCCTCAGCCTCCTGAGTAGCTGGGACTACAGGCATGCGCCACCATGCCCGGCTAATATTTTTTAATATATATATTTTAAGTTGTCCAGCTAATTTCTTTCTATTTTAGTGGGGAGGGGAGGGTTGTTGCTCTTGCTCAGGCTGGTCTCAAACTCCTGAGCTCAAACGATCCACCTGCCTCGGCCTCCTAGAGTGCTAGGATATATTCTCTTTTTCTTTTTCCTCATTTTAACCAAGGGAGGAAAACACAGTTGACATTGTATATAGTATTATGAAATTCCTGTGTGTACACTGCCTCATCAAAACCACTCTGTGGACATAAATGTTCCGACTCCTGACTCCAGGCATCAGCAGGTAGTAAAAAATTCTCTCACCACTTTCAGACTTTTAAAAAGTCCAGTGCGTTGTAATATCATGATTCAGAACTGTCCTCCAACATAGAACGTCTCCCTTCTGCTCTAGCACTGGGCTTCGGGGGATGGTGTTGCTGTCAGCAACTGGGCCCCTCTCTCCCTGCACCTCCTCGCGTGTTCTCTAGCTTCTGTTTTGAGACAAGCCAGCGTAACAGAAAAAAGGACAGTGGGCAGAAAAGTCTTGCCAATGATAAAGTTGTCACCTGACACTGGTGAGCTCGATGTAGCGGACCCCCAAGCTGATTCTTTTTCTCACGGAGTGCCTGCGTGGTTCTCTGGTTTTCTTGTGACCCCTTCTCCCCAGTCATTACTGGGCTCTCTCGCCTACAGCTCTCTTGGTTCAGGATGGGTCCCTGCCAGGTGACCCACACACTTGCACCTGCCGCCCAAACATGCACTGATCCGCCCTCCCTCTCACGCAGCCCCTTCAAGCCCCAGCAAATAAAAAACAAATCCAGACCTAGTAAAGAGAGACTTTAGCGGCCAGGCACAGAGGCTTACGCCTGTAATCCTAGCACTCTGGGAGCCGAGGCGGGTGGATCCCTCGAGGTCAGGAGTTCGAGACCAGCCTGAGCAAGAGCGAGACCCTGTCTCTACTAAAAATAGAAAGAAATTAATTGGCCAACTAAAAATGTATAGAAAAAATTAGCCAGGCATGGTGGCACATGCCTATAGTCCCAGCTACTTGGGAGGCTGAGGCAGGAGGATCGCTTGAGCCCAGGAGTTGGAGGCTGCTGTGAGCTAGGCTGACACCATGACACTGTAGCTAGGGCGACAGAGTGAGACACTGTCTCAAAAAAAAAAAACAAAAAAAGAGAGACTTTATTCAAAATCATTATTGCAGCTATAGGGGAGGGACTATTGTAGTATGGGACAGGAACTATTGCAATGGACTAAGACAGTCTGACTTCAGGCTTGCACCCCTCAAACACCAAGGACACAGGTCAAATTCTCTGGTTTTCTTGAAGCTCCTCATCGCTTGGCTTAAAATGAGTAGGAAACAGCTCCACTTCTCCCTCCTTAGAGGATTGGAAAGGCAGCTTCTTTTCTGCACTTGCAGCTAGCTAGGTGTGTGGGCTAATTCCGGCAGAACAGGTTTTAGAGCAACCCTTTTGCAAGTCTGGCTTAGATGGTTTAGCACTTAATGTAAAAGTACTTAGCACTTATTGTTCCCAACATTAAAATGGATGGGGGGGGGAGTGTTTTCACTCACTGAAAACAGGTATCCAGTACTTCTTGGTCTCAAGTCATCTGGCCAGCTGCTGCTCGAATGTGACTCAGGAGCAGAAATTTACACATACCGATTCCAAAGGTATGTTTATTATTGCTGTGCAACCGGACACTCAAACGATTAGTACTTTTCCTTGAAATAAGCACAAATCTCATGCTTCTCAAGTATGTCTGCTATTAATTGGAGAGAGAAAAATTAGTTCTATATAAGTTATACTATTAGTGTGAGTGCTTTAACAATAACGATTGGCAGCCTTATGTGTCACTACTTACATTCTACACGTGTATTCGGGGCTGCCGGCAAAGTTACATAGCGCTACATGGTTCCATTTCAGTGTCTATCCCTGAAAGTAGTTTTTCTTTAATGAAATAAATCTGACTTTCACCAGATTTAAGCTATTTCATGACCTGCGACTTGTTCCATTCTCAAGAACGTATGTGAATAGTGTATTGTAAGACAACTTCCTTGAAATAATTGTTATCAATGTGGGAAACCAGAATATGCCAAAATACGAAGTATTGTCTAGCTAAAGGCAATGAAGGTGAAGCAGCGGCAGGAATGCTCCCTGCCCTCCCTTCCTTCACCTACAATCAGGACACAGACTTACAAAGACAAGAGGTGTCCTGCTCTCCCTTCTACCAGGGAGAACAAAGTTTAACCACTGAAGACAACTTCGACGTCAAGGCCTGGAGATGTTACCAGAGGAATCTACATTAACAAGCTTTCACTAACTAACCCTTATCTGCCATTTATTTGCCTTCCCCCAGTTTGCTGGCCCTAGAGACTCAGGGTGTTTTTCCTTTGTCTTGTCACATCTCTAAAACTTTACTGTTTGTTGTTGAAGATGCTGTATAAGCTGGCATTCAAAGCCACCTCTCTGAGAACTACCCATCCTCTGTATGTCTCCTGTGTGTATGTGAAATATACGTGTTAATAAACTTCTGCTTTTTTCTTGCTAATCTGTCTTTTGTCATAGGGGTCCGTTCCAACTAAGAACCTATCAGGACTGAAGAGAAAACTAGTTTTCTTTCTCTACGCCATTCTAGCAGTTTGTAACTTTGGGTTGACATCCTCTGAAAAATAACAGCGGGAGAATAAACATTTGGTAAGTGACAAAAACTCTTTTCTTAACCAAACTGTAGTCAGGCTTCCCTAAGTTCTTTTATCCACTAGGCCTGATCCTTGCCAGAATCTCTACATAGCCCGGTTTCAAAATCCTATTAATTTGGTTAAGAGAGAGTCGCCACCTCTTGATATCTGATCACCCCCCAATATCCAATCAACTTCCTCCTCCACCAGGGTCCCCTGGGAGATGTCTGATCACCCTGGCCTGCCTTCAGCAAGAATCCTGTCAAGTCAGTTTAGCGAGAGTCCCCTTTCCCTATCCCTGATGTTTCCTTAGTATACTATTTCCCTTCCACTGACCCAGGCCCCCACCCGCTCCTAGGCTATACATCTCCCAACCCCCATCCAGGCTGTATTTGGAATTGAGCCTGCCTGGTTCTATACTGAGATTTCCACCCCTATTGCAATAGTTCCTGAATAAAATCTGTTTTTGCCACTTGTTATGATCTGAATGTTTGTGTCTCCCCAAAATTCATACGTTGAAATCCTAATCCTCAATGCAATGATGTTAGGAGGTGGAGCCTTTGGGAGGTGATTAGGTCTGGAAGGAGCCCTCATAAATGGGATTAGTGCCCTTATAAAAGAGACCCTGGAGTGATTCTCTCACTTTTTTCTGCCATGTGGGGACACAGCTAAAAGGCAGTTGTCCATGAAGCAATAAGCAGCCCCCGACAAACACAGAATTTGCATGCACCTTAATCTTGGACTTCCAGCCTCCAGAACTGCGAGAAATCAATTTCTGTTATTTATAAGCCACCACATTTATGGTATTTTGTTACAGCAGCCTGAACAGACCAAGACACCACTTGAAATACTGTTAGTGTCTGGTTTTCTTTATCATAAGGAATTAGGTTTTTAAAAAGTCATTAACCTTGACACATATGCTTTTTCTAATCTAAGGTCTTACTTTATATGCCAGAACCTGAAAATCTTTCTAAGTGGGACTTTACACATGACATGAATAAATAAACGAAAAATATCTTATTTGAAAGCATGCACTGTAAAGTTTGTTATAGTGATTTAATTATAAGCAACTCAAAAGTTTGGCAAACTTGGCCAGGCGTGGTAGCTCATACCTGTAGTCCTAGCATTTTGGGAAGCTGAGGGGGGAGGGCCACTTGAGACCAAGAGTTTGAGACCAGCCTGAGCAACACAGCAAGACACCGTCGGTACAAAAAATAGAAAATATGGCTAGGTGTGGTGGCACCCACCTGTCGTCCCAGAAATTAGGGAAACTAAGACAGGAAGATTGCTTGAGTCCAGGAGTTTGAGGTTGCAGTGAGCTAAGATGATGCCACTGCATTCAACGCCAGGTGCCAGAATGAGACCCTGTCTCAAAAAAAAAAAAAATGTTTGCCAAGTTTAATGGCTGTTATATATTTAGTTCCATGTATGATCTTCAAATAAATCACTCATCCAGATTCTCATTCACAAATTGGCATTAATTTTCCTAAGCACATCTGGGAATTTTGTGAACAGAAATAATGAAAACACTACAAAATAAATGTACTGTCTTTTTTCCTATCATCTGTTTGGTCTCAGGCAAAATTAGTATTTTGACATATACTTCTTAAAAAAAAATAAATGCAATGACATCATTCAACCGTTCATTTATTCAACGGTGTGTTACTAAATGACCACTAAGTGCTCAGCACGCTGGTAGGTGCTGAAGGTGCAGTGGGGAACGAGGAAATCTCTGCCCTCTTGGATGTCAAAGTCTCTCAGGAGAGAAAGACATTTAAGAAATAATCATGTAAATAATTATGTGATTAAGATCATAATAAGGGCCACGAAAGAGAAGTAACACCAGCTGCCATTTAGTGAGGATTTGCTATCAGCCCACTTCTGTGCCAAGTGTATTATATTAATATCACCACTTAATCCTCTCAGCAGCCTTGCGAGGTTAAGACTTACGACTGTTGACAAAGGCTCTCGTCCCCTAACTCTGGTCAGGTTCCTCTACGCGCTCTAGGCCCCGACGTGCAGTGTCTGTTTTGGTTCATGTCAGCCTGTATCACCCTGTTGTAGCCAGAATCCTGTTAAGTCAGTTCAGAGAGAACTTCCATGCTGCGTATGTCATCGACTTCCTCATGCCCCACCGTCCCCAGGTGATGCCAGAGCACCCCGGCCCGCCTTCAGCGAGAATCCTGTCAAGTTGGTTTAGCCAGAACCCTCCCTCCCCCCTGTTGTTACCTCTTAGTAATTTTCTGTCCACTGACCCCACCCTGCTCCCTGGCAATAAATCCCCACTTGTCCACGCTGTGTAGGGAGTCGAGCCAGGTCCTGCACTGAGGTCTCTTCCCCCTATTGCAGCAGTCCCCGAATAAAATCTGCTTTCACTGCTCTGACTCCTGTCCGGCTCTGGCTTCCATATTTTGGTTTTTCCCCTGTCCCTGCCATCTTTTCCTTATGGGAAACCCGTTCCCTATGGTTTAAGTGGACTGCTCCATGCCTAACTCCACAGACAGGAGTGACACAGGACCCAGCCTCCTGGTCAGTCAGGGAACCGCACTTACCTGATGACATGGAGTGTTCAAGTCAGGCCACTTAGAGGCTTCCCTGCTGGAAAAAGGCACCTTCTCTTTTCTGGAATCACAAACAGAAAGAGTCAAAAGCAGAAGACCAAAGACAAGTACAATTCTTCAAACAGGAAGACAAAAGGAGGCCGGATCCCAAGCTCCCCACACGGCAAAGAATCCCACTCCAAGCCTGCTCTCTAGGACCATGGAGAGCTAACCAATGGGATGTCCAGGGAAACCATGAAGGAGATGAGGGGCCCTCGGTCTGCTAGAATCACGTTAGCTTCTTGTGTAAACTTAAAGAAGGAAAACAAATCCGTTCTCAATAATAGTAGAAGTTGAATTTCTTGCCAATCCAGTAAGATCAAAGCTCTGAGCTATATTTCCCCCTGATTTAAAGAAGGTAAAGAAATGGGACTTTTCCTGCTCTTATGTGTGTGGTTGCTAATTCCTGTCTTCTCTAGTAGTAGAATACCAGGAGCAGCAGGGAAGGGGTTTGTATTTAGGTTTTACTTCAGAATCCACATATAATTTTTTTTTTAAGTTTTAAACATGCTGAAAAAACACAGGGACTGGTAGAATGAATACCCATATACTCACCACTGAAATTTAACAAATGTTTACATTTTACTTTGTTTACTTCAGGTTGTTGTTTTTTTTTAAAGAAAAAATATGCCATAATATGTGCCCATAAAAAATTATATTCTTAGTTTGAGTGTTTCCAACTTTATATATATGGTATCGTGTTGTAAGTATCTTTCTAGAACTAGTTTTATTTCATTAAATAATGTCTTTACTATATATCCATGTTGATACATATAATCTAGTTTATTCATTTTTTGTTTGAATATAAGTCATTTAATTTATTCCATTATCCAACTGTAGACATTCACATTATCTCTCATTGTGGTGTTTTGAGGTTTTCACTATTATAAACAGTGCTTCACTGAACATTCTCTGTTTTCAGATATGAGAGTCTCTTGATGGTATACATCTAGAAGTGGCATTGCTTGGCAAAGAGTATTTACATCTTAAAATTTACTAAATATTTCAAGGCTACTCTCTAAAGTGGTTGTACCAATTTGTAATTCCATCAGCATTTTTCAATTTGTAATCCTATCCCAATTTTAAATTTGCAATCTCATAATTTTCTTACCTCCTTATCAACACTTGGTATTGTCAGACTCTGGGGGTATGTCAAGTTTTATTCCCCAGTTTCCTAGTTCAGTGAGGATTTTTTGTAAGATTTTTATTTTTTTGAGTTTCCATAAATTGCCATTCAAGTCATTTTTTAGTTTTCTATTAAGTTTTCTTTTTCTTTTTCATGTGTGTTTGTGTGTTGTGTGTGTGTGTGTTTTAGTATATAGTTTGGGCTTCCTCACAACATGGCACACTGGGCCATTTGGCCTGCTGACATGTCATTGGTTTAGGGCTCCAGAAAGAGTAATCAAGCAAATAAAGCAGACGTTACATACCCTTTTATGACCCAACCTCAGAAGTCATGGATTGT